CATCCTGTGCTTAGAAATAAAAGCTACAGAGGTGAATTCTCACAAAATACCTAATTCAAAAATAATCCATTGAATTGAGATGCAGTTGGTGTTTTATACGTTGTGTCTTTTCTCAAATTTCCATTGAAATTAATTTAAAATGAATATCTCATTTGTGAATATTCAAAGGTGCTGTGTCATTTCAAAATCTATCTTTTACACATGATTCTTCAGTCACTTGGTTGTTACCTAACTTAACACAGAGACGAAATTCAACACAAAGACCTCATGGAGTGCTCCTTTGGTGGAATCTCTAAGTGAATCATTTCTATTGTATGGTAAAACTGGACTGTAATTACATCCTTCCAATTGGTGCTATGCTTTATGGTTACTTAAGTGACAGACTTAGATATTAATCTTTGGATGATAAAGTTTTAATGGCCAATAGCTTTCAAGTCAGCAAACTGTACTTCTGGGCACACATTTACTCCTCAGGGGAAGTGTCCTTGAATTAGTCCTCTTCAGTGTTGCCTAAGGAACACTTTTTTGGGGTGAGATGAACTGAGGGTAACATTTGTTTCAGTGACTACTTGAGAACCATGTGTAAATATCACAGACATCGTCCACATAAAAATAGATGATGATAATAGCCTAAGATATGTGTCGGAAGTTGGACATTACACCAAAAAGGAATTTGATTATGTATTCACTTAAAATTCCTTGTAAAAAGTTCTGCTAAGGAAAAATTCAACCTGTGGCACTATCACTTTAAGTTCAGTTAGTCAAACCTGAGTAATGGAAATATTTATGTCCCAAATTTCAGAAATACATGCTTTTTGCTGATTACATCTGTGATGATGTATAAGTAAATAGCCCTACCTATGACACCTTTTATTTATTATTGCTATTGTTTTTGAGATGAGGTCTCATTATGTCACGCAAGCTGGACTCAAACACATGATTCACACAGCTTTCTGAGTAGCTATGACACTAGGCATGTGCCACCATGCTCAATGCAACACAAATACTGCCACCCTGGGGTGTACCAAATGCTAGGGATACAGAGGAGTCAGTCAGACAAAGATGAGTGCTCTCAAGATTATATTTTAGTGTCAGAGACTGAAATAAAACTAGCAAAATATATCATCAGGTAGGTAGGTAGGTTCTGTAAATATCCATCTCTTGCAACATTGTCACCTAGCACACTGGCTAGACATAGATGACACTCAGAAACTTCTCACTGCTAGGTTTATGCTCTTCTGTGAATATACAAAGGGACAGAAGCAAGCTTCTTCAATGTAGCATTGTTTTTTCCTTGTAGACACTATGGGTGTCCTCATTCTGGAAAACGGGGATATAGACATGGGGTAGAGGATGCTGAATAACTTCCAGAATAAAGTTTTCGTAATCATGAGTCCTCATGTCCCTGTGTAAAGTAGGCTGGCAGGTTGGCTAATTGTGGTGAATTTAACAGCTGATATAATTGTACCATGTGGCCCAAATGAATTATATCATCTATCTGCTTTGCTCTTGAAAATTTTCTAATGCACATAAACTCTCTTTCCAGTGTATCTCTTTGACTTCATTGTTTTTCTCTTGTTTAACAGTGAGCACCTTAGAGATATAAGGTTAATTAACTGATTTAATAGACCATCAAGCCACTTGTTCCTGTGTATCTTTCAATTAGAATTGTAACCATTAACATGGATGGGCACCTGTAAGGTGCCAATAGAAAACATTTTAGAAAATAATATATATTCCTCTGGTGCCGTATTGTGTGGCTTTTGGAAACTAGATGGAAGGTATCTGTTTGATGAGGATCCACACACAGCTACCTGGAATGCAGGTGGAGTGTGCAGATCAGAGAAGAATGTCCGAGAGGCTGATGAAGTGACTGTCATTGGGCTCTGGGCACAATGACTCCAAACCATGTTTGCCGATCCAGTTTGCAGACATTCTTTTTTCTGTCCACAATTCTCACACATCTCCTGCCAGTTTTATCAAAGCTAAGTTTCCCAGGCAATTCTGTGCATCCTCGTTACCACCGGACTCACATTCGCATAGACATGCATAAGTAATCCACATGAGTTCCAGCTTTTTAGTAAAGTAGTGTATTTTCACAGATTACATGGGGGAAGATAACTTGTAAAAACAATGTATGATCAATAAAAAATTGCTAAATTAGAAACAAACCAAAGGAGAGAATCAAAACCCTTCATATTTCTGGAATCTAAAGTTATTCATTGAAAGTATTGTTATACACTCTGGTAACTTTTTTCTCTCTGGAAAAATAACACTTTTTTTTTCCAAATTTGGGTACAGCATCCATAAAACACAATGATTTGTTTTTTAAAAGTTACTAATCCCAAACACTAATGTCTGCATATTTTTCATTACGGGAAATTTCCACAAGTATTCTTGGATTATCAATACTATGTTGTTAGCAATAACATACTGCACATAGTTCTTGTACAGAAATATTTCACCTACATTTTTATTGGTAGATAAGTAATAAGTCCATCTCCAAGCAGCTAGAGCAGCCCTTCTTCATGGCTGGGACTGGCAGATAAAGGAGGGAGAGGAGAGAGTGCCTATGAATTCCTGGTCACGGCACTGGTTCTGGGGTTCTGCAGCAGGGGACTCTGTTTTTTCTCAGCTGGTGACCCCTTCCTGTTTATAGGACATAGAGAAGAATCAGAGAAGTAAGTGCAGTAACTGAAGTGCTTCAAATTTACCTATTTCCAAAGCAAAGCCAGTGGTGCTTGGAAATTACACAGAGAATATTTATTACCATTCACACAGAGCATTCTCTTAGCTAGGCTGACATACCCAGGAATATACCTAGTCATTATTAGAATGCATTCATTTCGTATGTGTAAGGTAAGAGAAACTGTTATTAAATGAAAACTATTTCAGCAAACAGATTAGAAATTCTTCAGTGTTTGCTTTGGTCATCACTGTAAATCCAGTGCCTAGCACATTTCCTGGCATCTAGCAGATAATCAATAAACATTTGGCGAGTACATAAGAAACATAAAGTGCAAATGTCTCAGTCTGACTGCCAATTAAATCTTGGCTCTGGTTTCGTTTTATGAGAAACTAGAGCCAATAGGTATACGTCTTCAAACTGATTGGATAATTTAGGAAACAGAGATACAAGAGTTTGTATTGGACCTGGGTGTTATTGTGCAGGAATTACCATTTTTATTTTTGTTTTTTAGCTCCAAGATATTTAGGTCTCTGGTTTAATTCATTATTTTCCTAGAGAATGGACCCCAGGGAAGTTGGGGAATAAACATTTTCCAAAGAATTTGCTTTGTATGCAAAATCTTATTTCTTTCAAGTAGCAATAAATCACCCTGAGACTCAGTAGTTGTTGTTGTACTGAAACTTTTAGAAACATTTAATGACTCAAAATATGAGACCTTTGTGATGGGTGGTCCGAAGCATCTCTGCTGATTAGATGTTCTTCTCAAAATAGTCTGAAGGAACAAAATAACATAATTGAATTAATTCTCAAACTTACCGAATACATTTAGGTGTCAGCTCTGTACTCGTTATTAGAAAAACAAAGAAAAACAACAGATTCTCATAGATGTAGAAACAAAAGCATAATCGTTACATGTTATTGTAAGTGATGGAACTGGATGTGGACAGCGTGCTGTGGTGACGCAGAGGACAGAGACACTGATAATTCATTTTGGTGAAGATGGGAAAACTTACATGGGTATGAAACTTACTTGGGCATGAGACAATGATTATGTGGAGTTTGCAGGATGCACAAGAGTTGTCAGGCAGAAAAGGAGTTTAAAACAAAGAGTTACACAAGCCAAAGTGTGGAAAGGCCATGACACATTGCAGGGACAAGTGAAACCGTCACTAGAGGTGGAAGCATAGAGTATTTGTGGAGAAAATGGTGTTCCTGAGATGGACTTTTAGATGTATCCTCAACGAGCCAGCTGAGGAATTTACACTTTGCTGTATCAACAATGAAAGTTTTGATAAGGGGTATTTATCTTCCAACTAAAGATCTCATCAGTGCAAATAAAGGCATTTCTGACAATGGTCTCGATTTTCTTTTCAGTTGGAATTTAGATTTCATTATATCGGTTTTTAATCTTGGTGTTATAATCGTTCAAATATCATGTAATTTTTCAGTTTCACCTTCTGATCATTTATGTTTCACTTGTTTTCATAGCCAAGATGTTTTCAAATCCCCTGTGTTTGTCTTTTCTGCAACTATTTGGAAGTCAGATGTGGCTGTGTGATTTGACTCATTTATCCTGTAATTAGGACTATTTATGGAACTAGTTCTATAAATTGATCTTGTTGCAATCATGAGGTATCAGGAAATGGACACAGAAGACCAAAATATTGTTATTTTTAAGGCAAAATGGTAGTACAGAGGTGAACTCATTTCTATAAGGTTCTTAGAAAATTATTTGCATATTTTTAGGAATATTTTAGCCAACAGTAAGATAGGAAATATAGAAAGGAAATGTAAAATTAAAGACATCAGAATCATGGTGACTAACAAGCAGAAAATTCTAAAGGTGATATTCCAGAACAATATCATATACCATCTATAAATTAATATCAAATATTCAAAATTCATTTTGAAAAGTTATCAACTTATCTATTATTTACTTAAATGTACTTCAGCTTTTCATTGAAATATACATTTGTGTTTTGGCCTTGAGATTGTTATTCCTAGGGTGAAGAGTCTAGTTACTCACAGTAAGGTGTGTTTTTCCTTGATCCATTCTATTTGTGCACATCTGACTTACCATTGGAGTTATCATTTTTGAATATCAATCAGAATGACATCATTCTGATGCCAGTTTGAAAGAACTTAAATGTCTTTATCAGTGATGCTGATATTGCTCATTTATTTTTGTCAGTATTTTGCAAAATAACATAACTGTGGAAAGTGGAATGAGTGCCATGCACATAGCTGGTTGTTAAAGAACTACAGTATAGGATTGTACTGAATTGACTTCCTGTTTGTGTTTGTTTTCTAGGTAACAATGGCCAACATTGGAATCAATGCAAGTAATTCTCTAGAGAGCTGTGAAACCACACTTTTTGCTCTCCGAATGGCAACGTGGAATCAAATCCTAGATCCCTGGGTATACATTCTTCTCCGGAAGGCCGTGCTTAAGAATCTCTACAAGCTTGCCCGGCGCTGTTGTGGGGTGCATGTGATCAGCTTGCATATTTGGGAGCTTAGCTCTATTAAAAATTCCTTAAAAGTTGCTGCTATTTCTGAGTCACCAGTTGCAGAGAAAGAAAGTCAGCAATCACCTAGTTTAGTACGATAGTAAATCAATATAAGGGAACAAAATTAAGACTAGTTTGGGCAGTATTTCATTTAACTAGACAAATATACGTAAGCTAACTGGAAAACTCAGACCTCAGCATGTAGTTTGGGAATACTTTCATCAGGTTCAGCTTCTTAAATTTGGCAAATTTGCTGTATGATTGCAGTTTTCCTTCTTTGGCAAGTGGATGTAGAATGAGACAATGCCGTGAGAGTCAGATAGACAATAATTTTGAGCTTATCTGTGTGATTCATGCTTTTGGAATAAATGAATCTGTTGAGGTCTAATGCACTTAGTTGGCCCATTTGCCACAGAAGGTCTTAATGGTACCTACACCATAAAACTGCTATTTTGAGATCACTACTCTGCAGCTATTCCTTATTCCATGTAAATTAGGCTCAGTGAAATACAGCACCATCAATTTTTTGGTTCTGATCTGTTTTAGCAGCCATTATGTAGCCTCGATCAGTCTATATGTATGATCATGACATTTGGGATTTACTGTGGCTGACAGGTCTAGGTGATAAGTTGTCTTATCTTGTAAACCTCCTTAGAATGAGCCCATTTTGTTGCATTTGACAAATACGACTGTTTGCATTTATCATAAGGAAGGTCAGTCTTTTGTTTGAAAGCTTGTTTTTGGCAAATAGTAGATATGCAGTTGTCAAACAGTCTCTTTTTTCTCTGAACATTTTAGTGTGCTGACCCACAAGAAGGTCAAGAAAACCTGCATAATCAGTTCCTAAAAAGCTCTACCATGGATAACACAAGTAATTTAAATCCAAGTGATACATACAGAGAACGTAGGCAAGGATGTTTTACTGTGAGCCATAGTTTCTGTGTCAGAGAGCAAAAAAATTCATAATATATAATATTCACAATCTGCAGCTAGCGTGTTTCTGGTTTACACATACATACTTACACATCACACTCATGGGTATCGGAGAATTCTGCTGAAAGCAGGTTCACAAAATCTGTAAGGTGGCATCTTGTAATGTTTATGCTACCAGTGTCAAGGGGACAACTGGAAATTAGCCATACATTTTGGAGTCATTTTAATGTGAATCAGAAATTAAGGAACAATAATGTCTCCCCAAATTTCCGAATAAATCTAAGACTTTTCCTTTGCTTGTTAGTATAGTTCTAACCACATTCTAATTCATTCGGTAGAACGTATGAGTACACATTCAAAATGTCCTGGGTCTATCAGAAATTAGGTTAGGTAAGCCTGCTTTAGAGAAGGGAAATACATTTCCATAAAAAATTTCCTACTTTCATTAAGCTAAACCCATTTAGTAATTAATTTAGCCCTCTGAGACTGATGTCAGACTTTCAAGAAAATCTCTGAATTCAACTAAACTTAAAACATTATGTTCATATATTTCTGCTTTTAGTTGGTAGTTTACATTGCAATTGTTAATTTGGGGAAATTTTGGAATATTCTTACTAATGAACTAAAAGAAATTAAGCAAACTAAAAGAAATTAAGCAAAATTAGTGAGGACTGAAGGCAATCATTTTCTCAGTGAGTTCAAAGAAACATATGAAATGGCACATGATATTTTTAAAACCAGTAAATGATTAAACACATAGCTTCAGTTTATTCTCCTATAAATAGCACATAATAGATGCTAGATGAATACTTGACAAATTGGATTATAAACAAGAATTTCCTGGTGTAATCTGAACATGAAATTGCGAAGTTTTCACACATTTTTAGTTTAAGCTAATGGCTATTATTGTGGTGTATATATGTATGTATATATGTATGTGTGTGCGTGTAGGTGTATATAATGCATATTTCTAAAAACAGCCATTTTTAATTTGTGATGTTAAATTGCATAAATGTTTTCATGTGTCTCAAGAGCACTTAAAGGGAAGAAGAACTTTCAGATGTGTCACTTACTTTCAGACCAGTTATTATTTCCTGGAGCTGCTTAAGGGTGGTAGTATTCTGTGAGATAAAGCACAAGGAAGCAAATCTCTCTCCTTCCTCGCCACATTGGATAAAAACCTGCAGTGAATATTTTCATGTGCTTTGACTGGGGAAAGACACTGGGAAGAAACTGATTCACAGGCCACAGCCTCTTCTCTGGGAGCCTGATCCATTGACAAGAGTTGTTTGTCTATTGCTACAGTGTCACCTTAGCCATGTGTGTCTGCACTGAAGAAATCTTGTGTGCCATTGTGTGGGATGCAAATGTTTGTTTGGGGAGTAACAAAGGAGTCACTCTGTGCATATTCTAAAGGGTTATCTATGTTACATAGGCATAGTTTTAGAGCAATAGAATTGGCCTTAAGGGGTTGAGGATTTAGCTCAGCAGGCATAAGCACCTGCTTTGCAAGCGCGTGGTTGTGAGTTTGATCCCCAGTACCGATTAAAAAAAAAAAAGGCCTTAAAACAATGAGAAATGCACCAAGTAGACATTGAACATTGAAAAAAAAAACACTCAAAGAATATGTGTTTGTGTTGTTTTAGGTTTTTCCCTACCAAGGAAAACAAAATTATAGTGAACACACCAATGTGTTCAATTCGTACCTGGCTTCTGAATTCTGTTTCTCTTATTCTATGTGCTGCCTATAGTTTGGCGGTTTACCATATAGTGATCAATAGAGGGAGCATACACCAATAACTTCCGTATGTGTTCCAATTGGATATTGTTTGTCCTGATTTTTGGGAGTAAATAGTACAGAACGTTTTAACAGGCTCACCAGTTTGGCTGAGTGAAACTCTGTTTTAAAACTCACAATTTTATCTAATGTGTAACTGACTAGCTCTGCATACTATAAAGCATTGCAGTGCAGATTCACATAGTATTGCAACAGATGATTTTTGGAGATGATATTATTACAAGCAAATGCTAAACGTATCAGAGCTATTTTTTTAGAGTCTAGTTTGTTTAAAAAATGAGATAAAATTGCCTGAAGGTTTTAAGATTATGAATACAAAGACAAAGAATACTGACTCATAATTAGCCACGGGTACAACTGAAAACATCAGGCTTTTTACTGATGGGTTCAATTACATGATAGAAACAGGCCCTTTAAAGTTTTTTTTCTGGAGACAGAAAGTTGCTTTTATCTGTGTAGCTTAAGTAGAAAATCCCTAAACATTGATACATACACATATATAGATGTATCAGTGTGATGTAACAAATTGTGTTTGTTTACATTAAGATTTTAAAAGACAAACCTGCCTTAGTTTTGTGCCTAATTTGAGCTTAGAACCTAAGTCACAACACTTGTTAAACATGTGGCGAGCTTTTGTGAAAACTGTTGCTGTCTTTACCTACACCACCATGGCTCCAGTCGATCCTCTAGGAACAGAGTGTAAAAAAAAGGATTCTATATTTTCCTTCTCCCTTATCTGGATGTCAGAAAAATTTATCACCTGGTAAATAATGTTGGACTTCAGTTTATTACTGATACACTTTAGCAAAACATGAAATACATTCTCTGTTATGTGAATAATTGCATTTTGTGCTCTTCTCAATATAGAAGGTTAAATAATGATATGTATATGTTGCTGGTTGCACTGGTGTGGAGCTCATGTAATTTTAGTGCTTTGACTGGCTTCAAACTTCAAGTGATTTTTATAATAAACATGGTTTAATGTTTATCAAGAGTGGTTATTTAAGGAAGATCCTATAAAACTTGAAATCCTGAACACAAAATCCTATTTTTATTTGCTATCTTTGTTATGACATCTACGTTTCCTTCTCCTGTGCCTCACTTTTACTTAGGCAGGGCACAATTCACATCCGATCATTTTCAAAATCTGGTGACCGACAGACGGTTAGGGTAGCCTAGATATGACCGTGACAACTGAAACCCCGCAAATCTCAGTGCTGCCAACCTCATGAAGGTTTATAGCTGACTTGTGGCTCCTGTCTACTCTGAAGGGGCGCTCGGATCACTACAGTCACTTCTGAGCGCTCCAGTAACAAGGTAACTGCCATTAGATTTGCCGTTTTTCTTCATACTAGCAGGAAAGATACCAGGTCATGGTGACTCATACATAGGGCCGTAAAGCATCTTGAAGCAGGTGACGTCAAGGGAGCAGGTAAGTGCATCTGGGCTACACAGGGAGAACTGACAATGCTAATGATTTCAACCTTGGGTAAAAGAAAGTCATTCTTGTCTTCCTACTCATATTTAAACAGGAATCTTTTGATTAAAAATTTTTTTTTTAACTTAGAAACATCTTGGACATGAAACATTCAGGATTCACTCTTCACGATTACTGAGAAAAGTGGTCCTGTAATCTCTGAAAGCAGAATGAATGCTGTAAGGCTGAAGTAATGAATAGAAAATTAGATTCCAACAATGGAACAGAACAAAGGGGAATAAGTTGATTCTTAAAACAAAACTTTCTGTAAATTGCCCAGGCTTTGCCTGTTGCAGCAATGTCTGAAATGATTGCTTTACTACTAAGGAAAAAATGACTGCAGCTTTGTTTTTGTGCCTTTAATTTCCTTGTGATAGAATGTGTTTACTTGGACACGCCTCCCCTTCTTGGATTCTGTCAGACTGTCAGAAAATCCAAATAGCGTAATAGCACCCGAGCAAGATTCAAGTACATTTCTTTCCTTTCCTTTCCTTTCCTTTCCTCCGAGTGGGAACTGTACCTTCATTTTGAACTCAAACATGGCAGTACATAGAGTAAGTCAGGAACTTGGTTAAAACAAAATCTTTGCAATCCTGTTATGGATCTAGCTATATTCTAAGTGTCCTGGTCTAAGCTGCTGTAGGGAGTTGTTGCACAGATTTTCTGGTAGGGCTGTGCTGCCCTGTGTAAATACTAAGCAATATGATCAAAGATTTGATTTTCAGTTATAAGAAAGTAGTACTAAGGTTTTTACGTTATAAAAATTTAAATTTGCTGATGATATATATTTACAGCTAACAGTCTAGATAAAAAGAACAGTTAAACTGGGTGTACACAGCCTGTAATCCCTGCACCTGGGAGGCAGAGGCAGGAGGTTCGCTGTGAGTCTGAGGCCAGCCTGAGCTACAAAGTTAGTTCCAGGCCAGCCTGAACTGCATAGTCTCAAAAATGAAAAAAAGAAAAAAGAATAATGGAAAGTTAATCTTCTTTTACTAATGAGTCATAACAAAGTACTGGCAAAATTATTGAAATCTGAAGAAAGCGTAGTTTAGATTTGCAGTGTACATTATTTTTTAAAAAATGTTATATGTTTTGGTTCCCTGGCCCTGAAGTGTACTTTCAAGTTCTGATTTAAAGCTGCAAACTCAGTGTTAGGATTTCATATTTAATTTCATTTGAATTTTCTAATCGCCTGATTTGTAAAACCTCAAATTAACAAAATGTATTTTGCGGTTGTAGTGTTAACTTTCCTATGTTCAATAACTTAATTCTACACTAATAGATATCTACATAATTATAGTTTTTAAAAGTGAGACAAACTTGAGTCATTTACAGTAAAATGGACCATAATGTGAAGGGAGATAAATCAGACACACAAGCTTAAATATCACATGGTTTCTCCAAAGAAACCCAATCTATAAATAAAGAACTAAATAAGGCATAGATTATAAGAGGTAAGGAGACAGATCTTTCTCAAATGAAAGGAAATCAAGAAATGGAGTGAGAGGGAGAGAAGGAGAGTGGATAAAAGGAATGAAGACATGCTGTGTATGTGTACCAACTCCACACAAGGAATATAAACACAATATGTCACAAACATGGACTAATAAAAAATTAAAAAGGAAAAAAGTGAGGTTGTATTAGACATGCTTCTGTAGCTTTTTTTATCTCAATAGTCTGTATTAAAATTATTTTAATAACTGAATAATATATAATTTACCTATTGATGGAGAAATTGTTTTTATTTCTAATTATTTTCAGCTTTCAAATATTGCAGTTTCACCAAGTATATCCTTATGAATTTATTATTGTGGTTTATGGAGCTGTTGGATTAAGACAAGCTCATTTACAATGCTGCCATGTGCTGCTAAAATGTGCAGTGTATACTACCATCGTGTTCCAGAAGAAAACGTCTAATTCCCAACATTGCCTACTGTGTATTTTAGCAGACTTGTAAAAAAAACAAGTAATATTAAGCCACAGATTGTTTGTATTTTCAGTTGCTCATGCAGTTGAGCATCTTTTTCTACCTTTGTTATTCACTTGCTCTTCATTGAATTTCTTGTTCCAGATCTTTTTGCTGTCAATATATTAATGTTTTTCTTATTGACTCTTGGAGAGTTGTCCTTGATAAGGATATGAATGCCTTATTTATCCATATTATGAATATTTTTCTTCCAGGCCGCCATTTTATTTTGCCCTGAGAGTTTTTTTAAAAACTAAAATAGAGTTTTACATTTTTGCTTAGGCAGAGTAATCTTTTTTATTTTAAGGAGAATAAAACCAAGAAAAATAAAACATAATTAAGCCAATCAAAACAAACCAGTGTAAGTGATACAGGACTTCAAAACAATATGAAATCAACAATGGTAACCATAATACCTCTTGTTGTCTTCAAAATAGCTGCAGATACCTTCAGACATAGTAAAAATTAAATAAAACAACAGAATAGAGCCAATAAAAACTAAACAATGGAATTCAATTAAGGTCTTCAAAAGAAGACAAGAGTAAATCCAAAATGGCTATCATAGTATATCTTTGAAATAGCTGCCCATGCCATTGAATATAACAAAATGAAATAAAACAAAACAGAATAAAACCCAACCCAACAAAACAATGAAAATGACACAAGGCTTCAAAACAAGATAATAGGGACTTAACAATGGTCACCATATTCAGAAGGAAGTTCTCCCATAAATCTATACTGCATACCATTATCCTCTGAATAGATGATGAGACCGAAAGTCCTAGACCTGCAATGTCAGTGAAACACCAAACTCCACAAGCATCAAATTGCAGTTCCCCTGAATACGTATCATCACAGCCTGTGTTTCTCCGGATCAGCTGGTTATGTAAAGGAAGGGGTTGGCTCTTCCTGTTTCCCAGTGAGCTGGAAGCTGGGTCTGGCTGTCTTCCTGGTGGCTCATACCTGGCGCTGATTTGCAGGGAGGGGTTATTTCTTGGTGACTTCTTGTTCACTTCTCCTGCAGTCTGTGAGTGGCACCGACTCCTGGGAAAAGGCTTGGGTCAGGCTGTCCCCCTGGCAGCCCACACATGGCTAGGCAGAGTAATCTTTTGTGTATTCTTTGATTTGTTTCTTATTTAGAAAGAGGTTTTCCTTCCCTCAAAGATTATAAATGTAACTTCCTGATCCTTTTCTACTATTTGAGTTTTACTTCTTATCTTTAACTTTTTTTAGTTATCATTGAATTTATACTTTTGTGTCTCATGTCAGGTAGACATATTAATTTTTGTTCCTCAAATAGATAAAAATATCTAGTTCTATTTGTTTTTGTAAAGTTATAGCCTTGAAGTATTGTCTCAGGTAGATTTGCATTAGAATTTTTAAGCTAGTAAACTTAGCTCATCTGGTTTCCATTGCTAACCCAGAGAGGAAACGCTAGTTGGCATCATAAAATATGAAAAATAATGCTATTTTTAGTGTTTTATATTGATACTAAGACGTATCACTGGTTTTTTTGTACAGATGGTAAGTATGCAGGGTCATTTTCTCTTTTTACTCATTGTCTCTATGACTGATGTCACAGAGTTTCTAGGAGGTAACCGGAATAGCTGGGCATCATATCTACTGTCAGAGCTGCCAAGACAAAGTACCGTGGACTTCATGGTTTAGAAAACCAAAGCTTTATCCTCAATATTACAGGTTTCAGAAGGTGGGAATTAAGGTTTGGCTAGAGCTGGTTTTTCCTGAGGCCTGTCTCCTGGCCTTGTGGCTGCCTGTGTCTTACCTTTGTCTTCAAATGGCCTTTCCTCTTTGTGTCTGTGCCTCAGTCTCCCCATCTGCAAAGGACAGAAGTCACATTGGACTACAGCTCATTTGAAGGAGATTATTTACCCTTAATTCCCTGTAAAGACCCTGCTGACAAAAACAACCATATTCTAAGAAGCTAGAGATTTGGACTTCAGTGTAAGACTTTTTAAAATTTTTATTTTAAAGAGAACAAGACAAAACATAATGAAACAGAACAAAGCAAATCAGAACAGAACGATGCAAGAAACAGAGGACTTCAAAACAAGACAACAGGAAATCAATTATAATGTCTCTTGTTTTCTTTGAAATAGTTGTTCATAACCTTTATACACAATAATGTCAAACATAATGAAACAAGATAAAACCAAGAAAAAAGAATTAAAGCATTACAGGACTTCAAAACCAGATAACAGGAGATGAACAATGTTTACTATAATGTCTCATTTTCTTCAAAACATACTATCCACATAAAAAAATCAAATAAAACACTACAAAATAAAACCAATCAAAACAAAAAAATAAAAGCATAATAGGACTTCAAAACAAGAAGACAGGAAATCAGCAATGGCTACCATAATGTCTCATTTTCTTCCAAGTAGCAGTTCATAGCATCACATATAGTAAAATTAAATAAAACAAAACATAATAAAACCAATTACACAAATGAATGAAAGCACTGTAGAGTTTTAAAACATGACAAACAGGAGAACAAACATGATTACCGTAGTACATCCTAT